CCCTAAACCCTGAAACCCCTAAACTTTAAACTCTTGAAATCTTCGGGCCCTTAACTCCTAAGCCCCCAAACCCTGAGCGTTCAACCCTAACACCCCTAACACCTGCCCGAAAATCTAACACCCTAACCCTAGACTGGGTTGTCTTTTGGGATCTTTTTTAATTTCCCTTACTATTTTGTAGAGAACCACAACAGTAAATAATATTCAAGGGCTTAAAGGACAACTTAGTAAAGCCCGAATGCCCCAAAGCCCCAGACGGTGCCAGGACGCAGTGAAACACGACTGGGGCCCAAAGAGCATGCTTCAGGGCTTGGTTTTCCCGCGGAGTTAGGGTTGAGCCAGGGTTGAGGGCTTGAGTTTTTTAGTGTTTCTGTTTGTGAGGGTTTAGGGTTTTGGGGCCTTAGGGTTAAGAGTTTCAGGTCAGAGTTCACTTTGTCTCAGGATTTCCGAGTGTTGCAGTAGACTGACTTGTCTTTCCACTTCCAGCCCTACTTGGAGGTTCATGGGTAGTTATAAGGTGGGTTATAAGTCCCCTAATATGGGTTATAACTATAGTTACCCTACTTATAACTCCACTTATAACTACCCATGAACCTCCAAGTACACCCTGAACATACGGCTTCCTGAGCCTTAACATTGAACCCAGCACCTCGACGGCGCATAGGGAGTGTAAGGATTTTGCAGAAGAAGCCCCTTGTAGTCCCTATATTGTTATACTAGACTGTACTATCTCATAAAACTCTCCCACACACTATTCTCAAGATTAAAGCCCTTTCCCCTATATGCCCGACAAAGCCAGAGCCCCAAACCTGAAATTGTAAAGGGCTAGGAGACACGTGAGACATTGGATTGAGACACGGCGTCGGACTCTTTAAAGGTAAACGTTGGTTAGCTGATGACGGGGTTGAGCTAAACCCTAGACCCCTAAACCCTAAACCCCTAAACCCTAAACCTTACAGTCCGACGTCTCCTCCTCTGCACGTCAGAATGACCGAGAGATAGACCCTCCATCTACCCTGTTGTATAAGCGCCATTTTTCGTTACAGGACAGCAGTTTGCGCCTCATGTCCCCCCAATGGCTAAGGAGCGGCATGCGGCCAAGATGGCCAAAAAAGGTGTCGGGGCCTTGAGAGGCAAGTGTGTGAGTGCTGCTAGGACGATATCCACGCTTATGAGGAGAGTACGTTGATAAGAAATGCGCGTCAGACTGGGGATGTCCATGGTGACAAAGAAGACTTGTAAGATGATGACGAAGATTCTGATGCATGTGATGCCGATGATGGACGGCAAGAAGATCTTTCAAGAACCTTCCCAGCAGTGAGGCCAACAGCGTGGTGCGCGGCGACTATGAACAGATGCTTGAGGCGATGCTACCGTCCGCATCAAGTTAAAAGCCCCCTAAAGAGCCAAGGCAATTAGTAGTTACCCCTTGTTGTCGTATTAACTATCCTTACAAACTCATTCCAATTGATCCTGGTCGATCCGGGTGCGAAGCTCCTTCAAAAGTCCGATAGAAACCGGTCGTGAGCTGAACATGATGACTGTTGTAGTGATTCGAGAGTTCATGGACATGTCGGGGTAGGACGTGGCAGTTGTCCCACCTGCCGTCATCTAGCTATGTGTCGCTCGTCTTGTCTGACTGCTGCGAAGACAACGACGATTGTTGTTGGTGGTTTGTTGGCAATGGTACCGGTCATCATGGTTCCTGCAACTGTCGCTGTAAGTTACTCACGAAACTAGCCGTGAACGGCAGACCTTTGTCCGCGTCGGCCTCCTAAGTTAGTGTTTCAGCATACCGGGGGGAAGACCGTCGCAGCCGAACCGGACCCTAAATTTTCCAGCATCTCTCCAGGAGGGATCGCCTTACATAGGCACGTTTCAGACGATTCGCATGCCCCCAATTTGTGGGCATATTGAATCTTTAACTCAAGGTTTCGGGTTTAGGGTTTAGGAGGTCTACAGCCCCGGCCCAGCACTGTAAAGCAGCCTCCCAGAAGCTTTTTTAAGGATGCCACCCTAAACCCGGAAATCCTGCACCCTAAGCCGTCGAATGCCTATGCCTCGTGCTTGTAGGATCAAGATGAGATGGAGAGGCTGATGACTCGGGCTGCAGAGGACGGTTGGTAGCAGCTTTTGGGTTTCAGGCTGTAGGACTGACACCCTGTAACAACGGCTGCAGGACTAGCTCCATTATATCGGAGATTTTTGAGAAAAGAGTCTGAGTTAGGATTTATAGGGTTTAGAGGTAGGTTCAGGTCTCAGCGGTTCGAACATGGCCGGGGTTTCTCAGATGGCCCTTCCTCCCAGGGTTTCCTGGACCCTGCCGCCCTGCAGACGACTTCATGTATTTAGTAAACTGACCGCAGGTGAGTCTACCCATAGGCCCCATAGTAGTTCCTTTTTGGGGTTCAGATTTAGAATCCTATAAGGTAATCCCACAAAGGAACGTGGGCCTATGGGTACAGACCCAGCTGAAGTCTGTATTAGCTCATACTAGTTGCGTTTCTATGCGTGTTCATCCCTAAACCCTAAACCCTAAACCGTGTTGGCTTCCTTATATCACGGGGCTCGAGCTGCGGTTCTCGGGTGGAAGCCAGGGTCTCAGGTTAGGA